ATTACAGGCATGCGCCACCACGCCCGGCTGATTTTTTGATTTATGGTAGAGATGAGGTCTGGCTGCCCAGGCGGATCTCGAACCCGCGGGCTCAGGCAATCCACTCACCTCAGCCTCCCAAAGCTGAGATTACAGGCTGAGCCACCGAGCCTGGCCTTGTCCTTTGTTTTTAATAGTGAAGGCATGTAAAACTGTACATCTTTCTCTGAGAACACATTTTCTGTAGCCCATAGATTTTGGTATAAAAGATTTCATTTTTATTTTCACTGAGCAGGAAAAAAACTATTGATTCATTAACTGTGCTGTCTATTGCCATGTAGCTATGCACTGTTCATGCATTAATATATAAAATCTCAGTCCGTTTTATTTTGTCCAGTGGGAAAAGATGAACAGATGAACATTTCAACTATGCCAGTTCCATATGACTTTACAAATGTTCCAGAGACTTATCCTGTCAACTGGATTTGACTTCTACAGGATGAGAAGTATTCAGGAAAAGTATTTTCTGATATGTGAAGCTTGGAAATATAAATAAATATGCAATCTCTTGGTCAGGCTCGGTGGCTCAGCCTGTAATCCCGCGCCTTTGGGAGGCTGAGGTGAGTGGATTGCCTGAGCCCGCAGGTTCAAGACCCACCTGGGCAACTTGGTGAGCCCTCATCTCTACAATAAATCAAAAATTAGCTGGGCGTGGTAGTGCGTGCCTGTAGTTCCAGCTACTTGGAAAGCTGAGGCAGAAGGATCACCTGAGCCCAGCAGGTCGAGGCTGTGGTGGCCAGAAGCGGCCACTGCACTCCAGTCTGGGTGACAGAGTGAGACTCCAACTCAAAAAATAAAAAATGAAAAAAATATGCAATCTCTCAAATTTATTAACCAGACCCAAACTGTCTTAAACATTCACCTTAAAGCTGAACTCCATGAAAGCACTAGTTCTCAGACTTCAGTGTGCATAGGAATCACCAGCGAAGGTTATTAAAATGCAGGTTCCTGGGCTCCATCCTCAGAGAACAATTCACGCTTCAGGTGATTCTTTCTTCCCCTCCCACTTTATTGGGGTATAATTGACAAAATAAAAATGTATATATTCTGAGTGTGCAGTATAGTGTTTTTTATATATATACATTCTGAAATGATTGTCATCAAGGGTTTTCTTTTCGTTTTTTTTTTTTTTTTTTTTTTTGAGTTGGAGTCTTACTGTGTCGCCTAAGCTTGTGGGCAGTGGTACGCTCTCAGCCCCCGCAGCCTCAACCTGCTAGGTTCCGGCGATCCTTCCACATCAGTCTTCCAAGTAGCTGGAACTACAGATGCGCGCCATCACGCCTGGATAATGTTTTTATTTATTGTAGAGATGAGGTCCTGCCAAGTTGCCCAGGCTGGTCTCGAACCCATAGGCTCAGGAAATCCTCTCACCTTGGCCTCCCAAAGTGCTGAGATTATAGGCGTGAGCCACCAGGCCCGGCCCTTTTTGTTGTTTTCAGGATAGTTTGTAATATTGTCTTTGATTTACCCTTTGATCCAAAGGTGATCTAATTCAAACAGAAAATAAGAGCTAGAAGGTTTTGAAATAATCCTGGAGTAATCAGCAAACAGTAGTATTATTACCATAAATGACTATTTGGTACAGGCCTCTTAACTATTAGTTAAAAATTATATTTCTGTAAGAAAAGTCACTTTTTTTTTTTTTTTTGAGTTGGAGTCTCACTCTGTCTCCCAGACTGGAGTGCAGTGGCCGCTCCCGGCCACCACAGCCTTGACCCGCTGGGCTCAGGCGATTCTTCCGCCTCAGTCTTCCGAGTAGCTGGAACTACAGGCGCGTGCTACCATGCCCGGCTGATTTTTTTATTTATTATAGA